TGCCTGTGGCCATAGTAATTAACCTCTGAGGGGGCTTCCTGTTCAAGGTGTGTTTTGGTGAGTTGTAATGAATTTGTAACTTCAACAAATGTTCTATGTTTTCTGTTCTATACTTGCTTGTGTGGTGAATACTGTCTTGCCTCTGACACTAGATCAGACTGGATTAACAAAAGTGGTGGCAGCTTTATGCTGCTTTTCAAACAAAATATATCTTGAACGACTAAAGTTCATAACAATAATTAAAATAATAGCTTTAAAATGGTCAAAATAAACAACATAATACTAACTTTAGGTCAATTGTCCCTCATATCGAGACAGTGTTTCGCACTTTGATTGTCTCTAGTTTTCAAAAGTCAAACCACAGGGACATGAATGATGTATTGAGCTCAGATTAAACCATCAGGTGATAATACTGAACTGTGTCGCTGTGAACTGAGCAGGTTATATGTTGTTAGTTAAAACGCATACTCGAAGTGTCTGTGGTGCACAACATTTACCACTCTGTGTCCTGTGTTTTGATAATAATAATAATACTAATAATAATAATAAACTTTATTTATATAGCACCTTTCATATAGGGATGTGTAGCTCAAAGTGCTTTACAACAAAATGAAAACAGACAAATACAATTTTATTTAGCATCCATTATGCAGCTGTTGTAAAAAGTTTATAATGAAAATGCAGAGAGATAATTATTGGGTAGTTCATCTAACATTACAATAGCTAGGCTACCATCATTATCACACACTCACAGCCTATAGAACAAATGTAGCTGATTCCTATGTCAGTTATCTAGAAGTAACAAATTTACAATATCGCTATCCAGCATAGTTTTATAATCTGTTTCGTACAGGGACCACTTTTTTTTTTTCTTTAAATACTATAAAACAGACATGTTACCCTTACCAAAGTGACTTTCCGATCAGACCACCTCACAGCATTGGTAACATGTCCCACATTGTCCCACACAAACATACTTCAGTCAGGACCACTTTAGTCAGAGAAAACTTTTCCATTGGCAGTATGGCTCTGTTCTAGGGCCTCTCTGCTTTTCCTCGGGCCTACACAGAAAGCCTAAGGTGGAGAGAGCACACCTCACTGCCCTTCTATGTCTACATGGAAAGTCTAAGGCAGAGAGAGCAAACCTTCCTGCACCTGCATCAAAAGCCTAAGTCAGGGAAAGCAGCGGCAAAGACCCCTGTGGGAACAGAACAGAGCAGCATCAATGGCAAACAGAAATGACGTTGATAAGTCAGACACAACATGAAAATGAGGAGTTGGATGGAGGCAGGTTGCAAAGGGGCTTGCAGAGGAAGCAGCAACAGTAGGCAGGTCAGAGCAGTTTCAATAGGGCGCCCTGAATGACATTCACCAATTGGCTGCATAGAAAGGAATCATGTGATCTATCAGCTGACTTTGTTATTTTTATGCACATTTATCTTGTGAATTATTTCCTATTGTGCTTGTATGAACACTCATACACTACCCATATATATAGAGACAGTGTGGAACTGTTACAGCCTGCTATTCCTCAGCATCATCAGAGGTCTGAAATGATATAATGGTATTGTCCTTGCTCAACTGAAAATCATTTGCCCCACAATGGCCTACAGTTAATTAACACAAACCAAATATCATCTTTTTATTTCTGCATATAAGCTACATGTCCAGCTCTCTCCATTTCTTATGGATGTCATCATAAAACATTGCACTGAAATAAGTTGTCTATAACTGCTTTTAATCAACACCAAAGTTTCAGTTAGGTTACAATCAAGCAATCATGGAATAAGTATCTGTTCAATTTAAATTTTAAACACACTGGCTTATAATGAGAATGTATTGTTTGATATGTTTACTTTTTATAAACCAAATGATAAATTTGTTAATAAAAATGATTTACATTGCGAAATAATGAAACTAAAAAACAGTTATCTACAGTAAAAGTCATCATCATTTTTAGTTTCGGCCTTAATTGAACCCTGACTCAGTTACTGGCTACTTACAGATTGAAAGGTAACTTAGATGAGTTCAGCAGTACAGTACTTTTCTGCTTTCACAAACAATGTAAACTGTTAAACCAGCAGATGGTGGCAAAGGTCTGTCATAAAATCAATGCAGGAAATCACTGTGGTGCACCCAGTGGAGTCTCATAAGCCAAAAACACCTTTCAACGCTACGGCATCGATTCAACGCAGAAGTATAAATTCCCTGCTAGACTTAACACCTGAAATTGAGTGTTATGTGTTTAACAGCGTAAGTGTGAGCATGGTGTTCCTGAATGAGAAGGCTTTGCTACCAAAGACATTTTAAAATTGCTCACTAAATGCACAAATATTATGTTATGTTTTTTTCCACAGTGTGCTGCATGCTCATCCTCAGTAAGATAAAAAAAGAAAGTAATTTCTTTTTAAGATATTTAATACATTTTTGATTCTCTTACATAAAAGCCCGTAGATAACATTAATTTACAGTGACCTGCTGAATTTACTGAACATTCAGAGTTGCAATATTAACATTTAATCATGCATAATTAACTGAGATTTTAAAACAAGCACAAAAGAACAGCACATATTAAAGATGAATGTAACAGTAACACAAACAACACAGCTACACTGAATGAGAGCAGTCATAAGAAACAAGGAGTGCAAATGTCAGATCTTTAGAGCTCTTTCAGTATGGTGAGATTTGGAGCTAAAAGGAGATACATGAGATGTCAGTGAACATGTAGACTGAGTAACCTAAGGTTGCAGCTGGGCAGTCACTCCATCACTGTGATTGGAACAGAAAGATCTGTCTCCCACTGAGGTGTCAGGAGAGAGAGGAGTCCATATTTCAGCCTGTAGCTCAGCAGGTGCAGGTCCCTAAACACCGTGATAGAAAAGCACCACGGCTTTCAGTTACATAGATGCAAGTATGGACATCCAAGAAGTGCAGATGAGTATTTATGAGATGTAAGTCAGATCAGTAGGCCATGCCACTTTGCTATTGGCTGGCGGACTGAGCGCATCATTAACCTCCAGTGCTCGTCTTCTGAACTCCTCTCCTTCCCCACAGTCAACTGTCCAATCAGATGTTTGGTTGATTTCCTGGTTGTGTGAGTCTCATACACATAAACCGATATTTTGCACTGCTCCAGGGGAAACTCTGGCAGGGAGAACATGAGGACCTCATTGAAGACAGTCATCAGGCAGCGGGCCACCGCAGAGGTTTTTTGGTACCTCAACTTGCACTGGTTACACTGCACACTGATCCTGGCATACAGGGCTGTGCAACAAAAAGAGGGCAATTCGGGATCTGTTATACCACTGTATGTGTACTACAATATGTTTGTGGCTTTGTTTTTATTAAGGTTTGTTATTTACCTGCATCTGAGCGTATTTCAGTGAGGGCCGTTCTGACCTTTAGCAGTCCAACCTCAAGCCTCTGAGAAGTGGGAAGAAATTTTAAAGACAGAAGCACCTCTCCTACAAGATCCTGTACAGAAGGTTGGAGGACAAACACTTAATATTGAACTCTTCAAAGATTGGATGGAAGAAATGTTTTCCAAAATAACTCACAAAACATTTTTTATTTGTGGGGACTTCAATATTGATCTGCTGAATCCAGACACAAAATAACAGATATCAATACAATATACAGTATGAAATTGTACCCAAAAATCACCAGACCCAGCAGAATAACTTCCCACGGCGCCACTCTAATCGACAATATCTTCACAAATGACATCTTCAATAACACAATAAGCAGACTATTAACCAGCAACATCAGTGACCATCTACCAGTATTTACAGTTCATGACAACAGCTACAAGTCCAAACATCCTGACAAAAAAACGAATATAGAAGAGTGAGAACAAAAGATTCAATAAATGCATTTAAAAATGACTTAATGACACAGAACTGGGATGTAGTATACAATAACGACAACATAAATGGTGCATATGATGAATTCATGAGAATATTCAAAATATTATAATAAAAACTGTCCTATAAAATTGTTTAACGATAAACCAAAACAAGATCACCCTTGGATCACAAAGGGATTAAAAAATGCTTGCAAAAAGAAAAACACATTTTATAGAGAATTTATAAAACAGAGAACCAAAGAGGCAGAAAAAAATATATAAAAAATAGAAAAACAAGCTAACAACTATTATAAGAACATCTAAGAAAAAATACTCTCATAAAATATTAGATGATAATAAAGACAATGTTAAAGGTATGTGGAAAATTCTAAATAGCATTATAAAAAATGGTTCAAGACAGGAGGGTTACCTGAAATATTTTATGATAGACAATACTGAGAAATATGACATGAACTAGGTGGTTAATTGTTTTAATAAATTCTTTGTTAATATTCAGGAACATCAGACGAACTGAGTGGTGGTCTTATAGAAAGAAATCTTAGCTCCATGTTCCTTACAGCAGTAGAGGAAAGAGAAATTGTTGAAACTGTCTTAAAATTCAAAAAAAAAAAAAAAAAAAAAAAATCAACCGACTGTGACGATACTGACATGACTATTGTGAAGAATGTAATTGAGGGAATTTCAAAACCACTAACGTACATCTGTAATTTATCATTTCAAACCGGTACATTTCCAAATACAATGAAAATAGCCAAGGTAATTCCATTGCATTAGTCTGGGAACAAACGCATCTTCACAAACTACAGACCTGTCTCATTATTCCCAAAATTCTACAAAATATTAGAAAAACTATTCAATAACCGGCTGGATAAATCCTTGGACAAACACAAATTACTCAATGAAAGTCAATACGGATTCAGATCAAACAGATCAACATCACTGGCATTAATAGAGTCAATAGAGGAAATCACTAATTCATTGGCCCAAAAACTGTATACAATTGGAATATTCATAGATATATAAAAAGCTTTTGACACAATAAATCATGACATCTTACTCATGAAATTAGAGCGGAATGGTATCAGGGGAAGGGTATTGGACTGGATGAGGAGTTATCTGACTGACAGGAGACAGTTTGTGAAGTTGGGTGATTTGTATTCAACATGTTTGGGCATTCCTTGTGGCGTCCCCCAGGGGTCAGTGTTGGGCCCGAAATTATTCATTCTGTATATTAATGATTTATGCAAGGTGTCAAATATGTTAAAACTGGTTTTATTTGCAAATAATACCAATATTTTTTTGTTCTGGCAGTGATCTACAACTCCTAATACATGACATTAACACTGAATTGATGAAATTAAAACTGTGGTTTGATATAAATAAATTAGCATTAAATTTGGGTAAAACAAAAATAATCCTGTTTGGGAATTGCAGAAATGATATTACAGATTCAACTGGATGGGGTGAACATTGACAGAGTTACTGAAATCAAATTCCTAGGGGTGACAACAGATGACCAAATCAACTGGAAACCACATATCAAACTTATACAATCCAAAATATCAAGAAGCATAGCAGTATTAAATAAAGCAAGACAGGTCCTGGATCATAAATCACTCCGCATTCTCTACTGTTCAATAGTTCTTCCATATATAAGTTACTGTGCAGAGGTTTGGGGCAGTAATTACATCAGTTCAATACATCCACTAATCATTCTGCAAAAGAAAGCAATAAGGATCATTCATAAGGCAGGTTACAAAGATCACACAAACTCATTATTCTTACAATCAAAGTTACTAAAACTCAAAGACATCATAGAACTGCAAACAACAAAAATAATATTCAAAGCCAAAAACAATCTACTACCAGGAAATATTCAGAAATTATTCACTGTAAGGGAAGGGGGTTATAATTTAAGGGGTAGATTTAATTTCAAAATTCAGTGGGTGCGCACTAGTTTTTATTTTTTCTTTTCTATTTTTTATTTCTTTCGTTAATTATTATTTATTTATATTGAGAAATGTAATGGAAAAGAGTGTGTGTATGTATGTATGTATGTATGTGTACTTGCATGTTTGTGTGTATATGTATATATGTACATACAGTATGTATGTGTATACATATGTGTGTGTGTATGTATATATGCATATATATACATACACACACACACACACACACACACACATAGGAGGTATATTATTGAAGAAAGTTTGAGAACCACTGCTTGAGATGACTCATTAACGTATGTAAGAATGCCATTCTTTAATTCACCTTAACTGAAGTATTGAAAAAAATCCCCATTTATTTGCATATGTGTGTGTTTGTATACATCCATGATACTCAATTTACGGCCCGCAGGCCAGATCTGGCCTGAGATAGGTGGCCGGTGGCCCGCCAACCATTTTCTAATTCACAGAAGAAATAAGGCAGAGGCTATTCGCATCCAGGTGTCCATATCAAACAATGCTATTACACCCAGGTGTATATTCCTGGGCTTCCTAGCAAGGTCGAAATATGACGTTAACACGAACAGGTCTATTCAGCTAAAGTTTTTACACTCTGTGCATTCAGCAGCTTCATACAACCTAAAAACTGATAATACCAAGTCAACAAAGTCTAAAAATAATAAAACAACACTAACTCAAACAATACCTGATCCCCAGTCCTGTGCTACACCTGTTCACCCACCATGTCTTACTCCCTCCATGAACTGTGTTGCTTTGCAGCTGCAGTCTGACTATTCTCACCCAGCTGCAAAAAGACACTCCATAAAAAGAAAGTGATTCACACTGGAATTCTCTTTTTTGTACTTTGAATGTAAGCCCTCAACAGAGATCCACGCTAATTATTTCTGTATCATTATTATAATTAATGTTTATGTATGTAATGGCCCCTTGCCCCGGCAAAGGCATGGTATACATTATGTCTTACTATACCTTCTGGGGCATCTTCAGATCTTCTTGTAGCTCCAGAGGGTAGGAGATGTTGAGCTGTCTTAGAGGAACCCTTACCTCTCCTAACACTGTGTGTCTGGAGAATTTATCAAAGTCCCTCACCTGAGATGAACACAGACACAAGACAGATGGACAGTTTACTTACAGAATTGCACATAAAAAGCATCCCTTATCCTCTGCTCAGATCTGATTTCTTCAACTGATAAAATAAATTACTGTCATCAACAGATACTGGGAGTGAGAGATGGGTCTGTGTGCTACAGGACCTCCATCCGGAGACTGATGTGATGAAGCTCCTTATCCTCTTGCAGAATACAGCTGAACTGGTCTCCAAATAAAGGGTTACAGCTGCCTTTCACAACGCGAGTCCGCCACTCCCTCATCACTGTCCACAAGACAGGTGCAGTCCCTTCGCCCTAAGAGGGTCACAGCAGTAATTGATCACGCTTTTATACAGTGCAGAGAAACTGCTCCAATGCTTTAAATGAGAGCCTGAAGGACAGTGTTGACATATTTTTTACAAAGTGGGACTAAAAAGCATAAAAGAAGAAAAGACAAGCTCTTCTTCTTCTTCCTCTGTGCCTGACACTTAATTTAATGATGCCCTTTGTTGAGTGATATATTGTATGTGGTAACTAACAAAGACAAAATTACCTCCTCATCGGTACTGTCCTCCATCTCCAATGAACTTGAACTTGCCCACATGAGTCTTAGCTTAACAAATGGCTGGAAGCTGTGCATCTGGCTGTCCTCCAGAAGCCCCTCCACCTGCAAGACGGTGACCACCAGCTGGGACTGCAGCTGGTCATAATAGATGGAAAAACGTAGCGATCCATCAACCTGGTAAAAGAGTGTTTGTTAGGAAAGACACCAAGTACATAATGCTGTAAAAAAAAATAAATAAATAAATAGTCCACACATCTAAACAAATTCAGAGCAGGTGCCAACAGCCAGACAATGGAAAACTAAAATAAGTCTGTCGGTCTGCCAGTCATTCTTCACTTTTGTCCAGACTGAAATATTTCAACCACTATTTGATGGATAAGCATCAGATTTTGAACAGACATCCATGGTCCCCAGAGGGTTAATCCTAATGTTTCAATGATGCAATAAAGTATGGGCTGGGTTACAAGCAGGGGTATGAATGGAGACAAGCCAGTAGGTGATTGGTTGAGTAGCATGATTTCTTTGCATGCAATTTGTCTTTGAGTTTCTGAGCCGCTGACCATGCTACAAATGCTGCACCGATTAAAACAGAAACACTTTGTTGAAATTTATTAAATCTCAATCATTTATGAATTAAAGGTCTATGTCAGGACCCGGGGTATGGACAGGGATGGCAGGTTAACAAGGGGGACATATGTTGGTCATTTTACCAAAAAGGGGGATGGCATCCCCTCTCATCCCCCCTCAAACTGTGTTGGATTACATGATTGTGGAGTCATAAAATCTTACCTTGACTTGGCTGGCAGACATGACAGACTACACATTGGTCCATGACCAGTCATCTTTCGCATGATAGTATCGAAATATTCTTGTCCTGCTTTTATTATTATTACTACCATTATTATTATTTCAGTCAATGTGTCTGTTGATGTCCCAGCTGAACTGTTAATGTAGTAGTGTATAAAGTGCCAGCAGATGGCAGGAGCTATAATTGAAGTACCGCATGAAAACTATGCAAGTTACTGAATCCTCCATAAGAAGTTCCCGCAAATGTTTGACAATAAAAGCCTTTTTAAAAATAAAGGGATTCTCTCAACCGAAATTCATACAGAAAGTGGTGCATTTTAAATTAAGGCATTATGCATTCAAATTTTACAAGGCAAACTGAAGCAGATTTAAAGTTACAATGTGTAATTTACGTGGTTGTTTATTAGCAAATATCAACTATTGCTTTCATAAATATATATTTACTAAAGTGTAATGCAATTCACATACAAATGGAAGCTTTCTCGTAGACTTAGAATGATTTCTCTATATATACACAGGCAGGGGGAGGTATGCTGGAGGCTGCCTTCTTGCATTGCCATATTTGAATACAGTGGCCAAAAGAGATACACGCACTTCGCCTTTCGCGTTTACCTAGAACTCGCCGTCACTGGAGACAGAGAAAGTGAAGCTCAATCTGGGGCACTTCTGTGTGAACCTGCTTTGTACTTTAATGATTCTGTCACACTTTAAATGGAGGACCACACACATGTTTTGCCCTGTAAGAGGGAAACCATGCCACCAACTAAAAGAAAAAGATCAGATAAGCGAGGACGGGACAAAATGCGAGTGAATATCAGCGTTGCTCATTCCAGGTGGAAAGAACTCCTGTGGAAGAACACTCTGGAAACGCATATATTATAATCGTACCAACCTATATTTGCCGCACTGTGCTGTGACTATCACATAAACCGTGTTATTTTAGCATTACTGTGCTAATGTTTGCTCATGTTACCAAAACAATTAGAGATAAAACACTCCTAACATACCGTTATACAGTCAGGTCCATAATTATTTGGACAATGATACAGTTGTCGTCATTTTGGCTCTGTACACCACCACAATGGGTTTTATGAAACAATGAATACCTGCTTAAAGTGCAGACTCTCAGCTTTCATTTAAGGCTTTTTTTCAAAAATGTAGTATGAACCGTGTAGGAATGACAACCATTTCTTCACACAGTCCCCCGACTTTAAGGGCTCATAAGTATTTGGACAAACTAACATAATCATCAATTAAACAGTCAGTTTTAATACTTGGTTGCAAATCCTTTACAGTCAATGACTGCCTGAAGTGTTGGACACATAGGCATCATCAGATGCTGGGTTTCTTCCCTGGTGATGCTCTGCCAGCCCTTTACTGCAGCCGTCTGCACTTCCTGCTTGTGTTTTGGGTGTTTTGCCCTCAGTTTTGGCTTCAGCAAGAGAAACGCATGCTCAGTTGGATTCAGGTCAGATGATATGACTTGGCCATTGCAGAACATTCCACTTCTTTGCCTTAAAAATGTCTTTGGTTGCTTTTGCAGTATGCTTCAGGTCATTGTCCATCTGCACTGTGAAGCATCATCCAATGAGTTTTGAAGCATTTAATTGAATCTGAGCAGATAATGGTGCCCCAAACACTTCAGCTTTCATCCTGCTGCTCTTCTCAGCAGTCACATCATCAATAAATACAAGAGAACCAGTTCCACTGGCAGCCATACATGGCCATGACATAACAGTACCTCCACCATGCTTCACTGATGAGGTGGTGTGCTTTGGATCATGAGCAGTTCCTTCCCTTCTTCCTTCTCTTGTCTTCCCATCATTCTGGTAGTTGATCTTTGTTTTATCTGTCCATAGTATGCTGTTCCACAACTGTACAGGCTTTTTAGATGGTTTTTGACAAACTCTAATCTGGCCTTCCATTTTTAAGGCTAACCAATGGTTTGCATCTTGTGATAAACCCTCTGTATTTATTCTAGTGAAGTCTTGTCTTGCTTACAAGAGCAGCAGGATGAAAGCTGAAGTGTTTGGGGCACCATTATCTGCTCAGATTCAATTAAATGCTTCAAAACTCATTGGACGATGCTTCACAGTGCAGATGGACAATGACCTGAAGCATATTGCAAAAGCAACCAAAGACATTTTTAAGGCAAAGAAGTGGAATGTTCTGCAATGGCCAAGTCATATCATCTGACCTGAATCCAACTGAGCATGCGTTTCTCTTGCTGAAGCCAAAACTGAGGGCAAAACACCCAAAACACAAGCAGGAAGTGCAGACGGCTGCAGTAAAGGGCTGGCAGAGCATCACCAGGGAAGAAACCCAGCATCTGATGATGCCTATGTGTCCAACACTTCAGGCAGTCATTGACTGTAAAGGATTTGCAACCAAGTATTAAAACTGACTGTTTAATTGATGATTATTTTAGTTTGTCCAAATACTTATGAGCCCTTAAAGTTGGGGGACTGTGTGAAGAAATGGTTGTAATTCCTACACGGTTCATACTACATTTTTGAAAAAAGCCTTAAATGAAAGCTGAGAGTCTGCACTTTAAGCAGGTATTCATTGTTTCATTTAAAACCCATTGTGGTGGTGTACAGAGCCAAAATGACGACAACTGTATCATTGTCCAAATAATTATGGACCTGACTGTATCTCACAGATAACAACAACCTATATGTCACTGGTAAGCTATAACATATTGTAGTCTGTAGCTGTAGCTGTGGCCGTGCTGCCTGCTCTCTCCGGTTTTACGCCAGGCTTGGCTCCTTTCAAAGACTCCTTGCGAAGCACTTCTCCAGGGTTTTTTCGGACCTAATTGTATTGCGGAGTTTTGCACAGCGGCCACCAGATCTTTGCTGTCAAACCACAAAAAAATGTGATGGCACAACAGTCTCCTTCAGTACATTATTCTGTGCTTTCTTTTGATTTTCACATTGGCTAGTCATCCTGTTTGTCTTCTGATTAAATCGGAACCGTTGAAACAAGTTGTAGGAAGCCTCTGCAAGTAATTGGTTGCTGGCAGACACTCTGTGCTGCAATAAAATGGTTAATCAGCAGTGCCGTGCACTGTAGAGCCGATGCGCTGCTGGTTCTGCCGGCCTGACTAGAATATAATGTCTATAGCCTTACTGTTGTGTGTACAGCATTATAGACTGAGCTGAGTAGTGATGCGTGGGTCGACCCGTAACCCGCAGGACCTGCAAATGGACCTGCAAATGGACCTGCGAGTCGGGCAGCAGTGATCGTCTGTTAGATCAGTCTGTAAATGATATTTTGACATTATTGGCTATTATTGTCATGGCATCCGAAGGTACTGATGCGTTGAGCAGGTGACAGTCCGCGGTCGTTTTCAAAACACACGTGTGTCACACACTCCAAAAGAAACTTGTTGAAACTTTAAACAATAATTTATTGTACAAAACAGGGGAAACAAACGTTGACAAAAACGGTTCCATAATTCATATTAAATTCAAAAGATAACGAAAAACAGCTACAAGTTAGAAAGAATAGTGATAAAGTGGTAAAACTTGGCATTGATCCACAGCCTCAGACGGATGCACTCAAGCGTGCCGTGCGCACAAGCTCAGTTGGTAGGCGATACTATATTTTCACATTTTTAACAATGGAATTTAAAAGTTTTGATTTTTATTGATAACCTACATTTACCAACAACAAAAAGACTACATTTAGCACCAAAAAAAAAAAAAAAACTAAAAAAAAAAAATGTAAATAAAAAAACGAATATCGAATACCAAATTTTCATAATGAATACCTACCCATAGAAACAAATATTCAAATATCCGAATATTTGGGTACAGCCCTACATTATAATAGAACATTTACTGCAGGGTCACTACAATATCGTAACATGGTTTAGATTCCTAAATAAATATTCACCTCATCGCTAGATAGGCCTACTCCTGAAAAACTTGAAAAACTCGTGGATGTTGCCATCTCTGTCTGCGCAAGGCTTTCTGTCCTACGAGGCCACCGTCACTTACCCAATGGGAGGGGTGAGTGAGTGAGCGCGAGTGAACCCTGCAATCTAGAATTTGACCGCTGATGTCACTGTTACTCACCATTTTTTACACACTGAGGCTTTAAAGTTAAAAAATGAAAAATAGAGAGGGAAAGAGAAGTAAAGGCCTGTGTCTAAAAATAAAGGTCCATTTCCATGTAGTCTTTTTCAAATAAAGCTGGTACCCTCTGCAGTTGTGCTAAGTAAAGGCCCAGTCACTATTTGTACAAATTTTTACATCTGTACATTTGTGTCTCCATTATGAAGAAGTACATTTTTTTGCTAGCTTGATGCTAATGGCAGTACTGACCAGGTTGATTAAGTGCCTCTGCTATTTCATGCCATAATTTTTCCTTTTTTACATTTTAACATCCCCAGAGGAAATATCAGAAAGGCTGGGGTGTTGTTGCCATACAGCTGTCCACGCAGCAGATCGCTGTGTACCTATTGGTCAAAGTAACGGCTGTGACAGGAACAGTCGTGAAAAAAATAAAAATCAAACATGCAAAACTTCCTCCTGGGACATCATGAGGTGTCCCAAATGTGGCGTTGGTCCTCTACGATGATACATATCACGGGATAAAACGATGGATTATCATGCACAACATTCACAATCCGAGCTGACAGTGTACGAAGGCTACATTGGACTATAATCAGGCTGATATCATGCAGTCTGAAACCAGCATAGAGTAGATATCTTGACAAATATTGAACAGATAGCCATGAAATTTGCTCAATGAAATATTTAAAGGGGAACTAATGTTTTTTTTTTTCAACTTTTTTCCGATCTACTTTTGTCTAAATGAGTGATAGGATGTTCAATATTTGACATTTCTCTAGTACGAAGCTAGGGCTGACTTGCCTGCAGCCTGTGAGCGCGAAACTGAAGAGCGGACGAGGAGAGAGAGGGAGCAGCAAGAGGCAGAGGAACATGTCTGAATCCAGCTAAAGGTTAACACAGACATTTCTCCTTTCTGTTATGTTGTCGAATAATTATACTAACATTCCGAGCCTATCTGTGTGAAAAAAATGCACTTTTAGTGGACATATTTTGACGTTGTGTGACGCTGTCTAAGTGCCCTATTATTTAATATAGCACACGCTCACGGGCTGCAGGCAGATCAGCCCAAGCTTTGTACTGGAGAAATGTCAAATATTGAACATCCTATCACTCATTTAGACAAAAGTAGATCGGAAAATAGGGCCCAGGTTGAAAAAAACATTAGTTCCCCTTTAAGGTCCATACAAGATAGATTTTGGTGATCCCTACATTTCCTCTAGCATCATCATTATTTAAATTTCAAAATTTTAATTTGTCTATCACTTTGGTTTATGACCAAATACTGATACAGCTACTAATACAAAACCAATGACATTTTCCCTTCAGCCTCAGGCATATTTTTTGTTTGTGCTTATTAGTAAATGTTAGCACACTAACAATCTAAACTACAGTGGCAAACCTGGTAAATATTACTACCTAAACATCAGAATGTTAGTACTGTCAATGTGAGCATGTTAGCATGCTAATATTAAAAATAGAGAATGTGAAGGTACATCACACTTTGTGAGACAGTGGCACCATCTTGTTAGGTACATGCTCAATTATCTCTGTGAAAGAAGATAGTGCATCAAGGTCTGTAATCCATCTTTGGGCTACCAAGTCATATGGATTTATGTTGTTTATTGTGAGCACCACCATCCGAGCCATCTAGTTACATTATATTCAAGAGAAGGCAGATGTCACTGCGGCTGATATCTCCACCACTCAGCAACTCACACCAAAACAATCTAGGTTGATAAATAGTGCTACAAGTCAGAGGAATAATATGTATTTTCTGATTTTGGTGTTAACTGTCCCTTTAAATAAGCCTCCCTTACAACACAATGAATTTAGGTCTCACACATTTCCATGGCCACCTAGGATGCACAAAGGTCATTTGATGTATGAGACCTAGGGCTGGGCAATACATCTACATTGATATTGTGATGTGAGAGTCAATATCGTCTGAGAATTTGGGCATTGTAATATTTTAAGTGAATATTTTGTGAAAGCAGCAAGAGTCAGCCCAACAATATTGTCGCAATATCAACATCAAGGTATATGGTCAGAAATATCATGATATTTGATTTTTTTTTCCATATCCCCCAGCCCTAATGAGACCTATTCCATACTCATTAAGTTAAGTACAGTTGCAAGGGAGCTTTGAGTTGTTTTTAAAGACAGGATGTGCAATAGCCATTAGCTGAAGACAATAAAAACAAAAAATAGTTGATTGATTGTTACATGACAACAGCATTACAGAATAATGAACTACCTTTTTAATGCTGGCCTGCTCCCCAATGTCTGCGTCTGCCTGGCTGGATCCTGAGGAGGGAGCAGAGGCCTGAGACAGACAGTGACTCAGCCTGCGGACCTCTGTACTGACATCCTCCACCTGGGGATCATGCAGACATACGGGCCAGTTCTATCCGTGGTGTTTTTATTAACAACTACAGTACAGCACCTCCAGCTTTTATTTGACTTGTGACAAGTTCCAGCTCTTCTTTGTTTAAACAAGTTCACCTTAATCTTTATGTACATAGACAATGTTGCCTATTTGGAGCATCTCCACAGACTAATGGGTCTGGACACAATAACAGGGACATTAAACATAATATAATGTAATCTTTTACAATCAACATAAAATTAAGAACTATAAACTAATGAAATATTTGAGGAATTTTAATGTTATTACCACTGCATCAAAGAGGTGTTCACCGTAATTTATAAGGCTGTAGATTATGGTTGTATTATATTGAAAAGTCCTCTTATTATTTTTTTGTCCACCCTTAATGTAGCCCTAAACCTCAACCTGATGGCTGTGCTGTCCTTGTCCCAGTATATATCCAACTTTGTTGTGCTCCTAAGTTCAACATTAACCCTGTCCAAACACTGTACAAACTACAAATTGTTTTTACAGTCAGCAGGGCCTTTACTAACACATGTCAGATCAGGTGATGGAAGGAAACAGTAAGCTATCTAAATAAAATGTGAGTTCTCAAGCACAGCTCACATGAAGCAGAGCATAAGGTCAACACAGACACCGCACCTAACCGGACTCCTCTCGCAGGTATAATAATCTAGCTGCTAAACATGTCCATGTCAGGATAGAAATCTACACTAGAGGCTGAGGCTGAGTGACTTTTTTCATTTATATGAACCAATCACATCAAAATTCCTTAGTTTATGGTGTTTAAAGTCTTGTTGTGCTTATTCCAGACTTACAATTCTCTAAGTCTTGAACTGGCAGATCACATCGAGTATATCTGCATTTTCCAAGAAAAGTTTCTTGATTTTGTGTTCCTACAGAACCTCTCTTTCATGCTTAATACAGGTTTTTGTTTGTTAAATTGTCCATAATTCTTAACCAAGGCAATTCTACACCACCACCTCGCATTATCAAATTGCTGTCAAAACATTCAGACAAACCAATCACATTTCACATTCGCAACTCAAGCCAGCCATGCATGGAAAAAGAGGTACCTGCAGATAATATATTTGATTTCCCATGCATTCAACATGGCTGAATGGTACAATGAAAAGTTTTAAAGCTACAATTGATTGCGCTGGCTTGAAACTGAATGTGACAGTTAACTTAATCCTAGGTTTACATATATCAGTTTTCATAAAGAGATTCACCTCACTGAGAAGCACATCCAGGAACATTAAGGGCCTCCCCAGAGTATCAACTGCAGCAGCTTTTTCAAAGATTTCAAACATGGCTCTGCTTAAGTTTTTATAAACATAGCCACACAGAAGCTCAAACATCTATAGATTTATTAAGAAATCTGATCATAGCTAAAGGTGCCTCTCTGGAACTCTGGGTAACCTGATACAATAGCGTGGCCACATACTATATGACATAATCATGATCATAAGAAAGGAGGTTTAAACAAAATAGTTTGTTCTTTCCACACCTCTGAAATCCATTTTTATATCTTACCCTAGTACTTGGAGCTCCTGAGTAGTTTTCTGCTGTCCTTGACTTTTCATCTGTGTACAGCAGATCATTGTTCACTATAATAAAAATCAGATAAGAGGTGGGATTTGGTAATAACCTTCTTGGTCAGACATCCAGCATCAGCAACATGTGCTGTGGTGTTTAGTATTGTAATCTAATCTACTCACAGGTATCTTCCCAGGTGTACGTGGTGTGTTTCTGTGTGCAGCATCTGAAGGTCTGCCATGCCAAGATACCCAGCGCCAGCAGCAGAAGAGTGACTGATATGCCCAGGATGCAGTACTTGACTGTGTCTGAGAGCAGCATACTCAATTCTCCAGCTGCTGACACCAGCCCCACTGAGGCTGGATAGTCTATCAGCATAACCATGACCCTCCAGCTCCATGTGGCCTATACATACCTCTGCAACCCAAAAAGAAAGATCATGTTAGGGGACTTAAATGTAGATTGTAGAACTTTGAGTGCACGCATGGACCTGTTGGAAGCCATATTGGAGGTTCAGCCAATGGACAGCACCACTATCAATGATAGAGGATTGTTGTCTGGATTTGGTCAGTGCAAGTGGCAGAGACTTCTGCTACTTGCAACTACAGAATTCGCACTGGCTAGCAGTTACATATTGGCATTAAAGCTGCACACTACAACTTCTCATACAGACAAATCTGGGAAGTACCAGAAGTAAACAAGTTGCCATTACTGCGGTGGCATTTCCCTACAATATGCACACAATTGAATGCAAGAAGTCCTGGGAAATGTATAATGTTTCACATTTACATTTACTTTTTTGCAACGTTACTTTTGACATCGGGAAGAACCTGTGCAGTTCTCAGCTACTCCAACAAGAGTGTTAAATTTCAATTTTAAGAAAAAAATGACTGTGAAAGAAGTAACATCAGCTAAGCTAACACTACTTAGCTAACGTGTTACTGGGCTAGTGTTATCGTCTTGGAGCTGCGATGGTCCCACAGAATAAATTTACTTAATCACCTAACATTAACTGTGGTGTATGTGAAATATAATATATATATATATATATATATATATGTTCGTCAGATTCATGTATACCCCTGACTCAGGACAGTCAGAAAAAAAGTCATGCAGGGCATCTGTTTGACTGATTCTCTTAAATACCCAAGTAATCATGAAAGAACACATGTGGATCATGCTCATGTTTACCAACCAGCTTACCTGGACAGATTTCATGCTAAAAGGACAAACGAGGAGAAGACTCGGTGAGTTGTGGTGCACGTGCTTTCTCTGAACAACTGATGTTCAGCAGAACATGTATGAAATTTGTGAAGAAAAGACGGTAAAGGAGTTACTACTGAAAATGGATTGGTCATTTTATGCGTATGTGTTTTACGTTTTTCTGATGTAAAGACTTGCTGCCTTTTTGTTTTCATATCACTGAAAATTGAATACCTTTGGGTTTGTACTGTTGTTCGAAAACTATTCAAAAATGTCAACTTTGGCTTTGCAAAAGTGTGATGGATATTTTTCACTATATCCTGACTTGTTTTAATAGATTAAATTCAATGATTAATTAAAAACAGTGAATAGATTAACTGTTTGTTGCAGCCCTAATAGGAGTTGAGACTTTTGTTGTTGTTGTTCATTTAGGACCTATGTGAACTCGCAGTTCCCAGGAAATATGAGTGGTGATACTGATAGACAGAAGAAAGAATAAAAGATATTTGAAGAAACTGTTTGGACAAAGATATTGTGGCACACTAGCAAAGTGGATCAAGATCACAGGATTTCCAAAGTCTTAAATACTAGCTTAGCATGAGTTAAAAAAAGGAACATATCACAGTAAGAAAAGCACAGATGCAGATATTAAAATGGAATAAGTGAATTCAATTTAGCTGCTCCATTTTCAGGGTCCTGGTATTGATCATGATCAAACTGTCACAAGTTACTGGGACACTTTAATATAACAGAGCCATCTTTAATGTAAAACTAAACAGCACCAGATCATTCCTGGATTGACCAGTCAGCAGATAAACTTCAAGAAATGTTAATTCTTCCTTTGGCAAAAACAACAAAAAAAAAACATATCTATGGGCCATTTTCAGTTGCACAAACGTCTTACATTTTTTATATCATAAAAGCTACAAGATTGAGTTGGTATCATAAGATTACCTGTATCCCCAACTGTGCACAATTTGCACAGATGATCAGGTCAAAATGTCCTTGTGCCTGCTAAATTCTGGAACATACTTTAATAGCCTGATTATTCGAGGTAAAGAAAACTGGTGCAACTGTGGTGTAGTCAGAAAGACATGATTAGCTCCTATCAGAAGCTGTTTAGTCAAATTGCACTTGTCCTGCTCACACTGCATGCAAAACAAGATGAACGTTGCAAGGAAAAACCTACAAAAGCTGCTAGTAGTATTTGTATTTAAACAAAGAAAGTACTTCAAGCTACCATACATGTTGCACAAATGAGCTCAGAACCTGTTTTTTATTGTTGTTTTTGAAAGACTGATGAGTATTAAACACATAAGTTAGCCCTTCTGTTGCAGTTTGGCACTTCAACTAAACACAGTCACATGCAGGACTCTTACCTGTAGTAAGTAATAAAAATTGAATAAAAATTCAGCTCATCTTTTCCCTCGGGGATGCAAGTATCTTCTTGTGTTATAAATCCATGCAGAGCTCTTCAAATTTCACAGGAGCAAAATAACTTCTTAGCTGGAGAAATTTAAAGCAGCACCTTATCATCTAACTGTTCCTTCTGGTTTTGTCTCTCTGGTCACACTCCCTCTCTCCTCTTACTCTCCACACACACATACACACACACACACACACACGCCTAGCACATGACTTCCTGTACACCTTACTGGGCAAACTGGTTGGATTGGATTTAAATGACATTTCAGGGAGCCTAACATGACCTGATCTTCAGCTCTCCTTTTAAATATCCCCCTGCAGGCCTGCTTACCAAATGTTGAATGCCTAAGCTTTTTATGTTTTTCTCTGCATATCATGGTCAACATTCCTATAGCACTTGAAAGTAATACTTTAATACATTAAGTTTAGATCATAAGGTGTTTGGAGGTTTGATACATTCAATATGTTGCATGTTCAGCATCAGCTCTGCTTTATCATCCAGCTGTACCCAAAACAGCTGAAGCTGCAGGTGCTGTAAATGGACAATGATCAGCTCTGTTACAGTTGTAACAGCTGAAGTGGCAGCAAGACAGCATCATCATTGTAAATGGCATTTACCTTATAGCCTTTCATTATAGTTATTATCTTGTGGACTTGTCACCTAGTATTTTGTAGGACTGCCTGCTGAAAGACAGACACACAATAGAAAACAGGAAATTTACCTTAAAATAGACCTTTAACAATGAGAACATGTCAAGTCACCCTGCTGGAAGGTAAAGTTGTTTTAAGTTACATAACCCAAGCTTGTCCTTCCAGGAATGAGGAAGAAAAACATTTTGACCAAACTTCCTGGTTTTCTTAAATCCTTCAAGGATGAATATCTTCCAGCCTGGTTTCATAGAAACACTTAAATGTTATTTCTTTCTTTTTTTTCCCTTCCTTTTTTTTTTTTTTTACATTTGTGAAATGGATACGACATCTTAATGCATTACGTGGTGGTGGGCATGAAATGTATTAAATAACATGCTGACAACACGAAAGCAATGTCAATGCAAAGTCAATGAGGATCTTTTGCTGTTGTGGACACACAAATTAAGTATTGAGAGAGAAAGTCCGCGAAAGGTGGGCAGGTCAAACAAACATGGACTGTCAACCACAAGACTGCTGTTCTTGTCTCATGTGAAACCAAAGTAAACACAGTTACATGACTTTACATTATTACACAAAGTATTTTACGTAGGTATGTAACTAAGTACATGAGTTTACATCATTTACATCCCATACATAGTTATTTTAACCAAATCCAAAAACTTTCCTAACCTTAACCAAGTTTTTTTGTTCCCTGAACATACAGTAACCAAGTGCTTTATTCCCCCTAAACTTAAGCAAATGGTGACCATTACACAATGAAACTGCAACTGTTCATATTAATCTTTGTATTGGCATTGTTTTTGTGTTGCCAGCATGTAATTATAACACATTTTGTGCCAACCATAACATAATGCGTTGTTAATGGGTTGTGTTCAGTTCACAAATTGCATGTTGCAGCATTTTCTGATAATCATGCAGTTCATGACAAAAGCAACTACACAGCTGGAAATGCATTATCTCACAGGGTTCGATGATAACGGATGCCATTGGCAACCATTTTGGAAATTTGTGCCCAATTCTTGGCCTCTAGTCACCATCAGTGGCAACCTCTTTTTAACAAATAAAAATAAGGACATCAAAACATGCACCTCCAAATAAATATATTTGTAATATTTGTTGCATTATGGATATTTAAATAATGCTGTTAAAGTCAGAATTGGAACTGGGTGATGCTGCACATGCATTGGTGTGTCATTGGTGTGCACACAGCATCTGTTTCAGAGACAGTAACGAAGCAAATTGACCAGGGGGACAAAATTTTGACTAACCCATCAACATCACAAACAAATGTGTAAACTTATTCAACTGACAAATAAGCAGATGAACTGTAACAAAAAATGTAAAGGAAACCTGTCAAGTTTTGCAGTGACCTTTTTGCTTCTTTTTCAATGCATCTGAGAAGTACAAAGAAAAACATCTGCACTACTGGTATTTTCTATACCAGAAATTGAGGGTGCACTCGTTAACTGATAACACTTTAGATTTCAAGCCCCATCACCACATTTAAAAGTTAGTGTTGAGCCCTATCTCATTAAAGACCTCTACTAGGAGACACACTTGTGGAAATTCAAACTTTTATTACTGTTTCACAGCAACTGTGCCAAAGTTAATGCTCTAAACAATAAACATCTGAAAATAGCATTTTTAACACATTTTTGTACTACAGACCTTTTCAAACACATACACTCTCACTCCCGTTAAAACTTTAACAAAGTCTTGTTTGACTGTCTTCTATGACCGAATCACAGCCGTGACGATATACGAGTATAACATCACTCTCTCTCGTGTGATATTGCTTAAATGACACACACCACACAATCTACAATACTTATGAATAATCAAGTAATCTCTATAAGGAAGCAAATACTGTTGTTCTTTATATAGTTGTCTTAAGGTGAAATACACACCATTTCTATTAAAAGGTAGAGCCTGACTAAGATTTAACACTGTGTACTCTGAGTCATTGATATGTTTCTTTGCATAGTTGAAGCTGCTCATAAACTGAATCAATAGCCATTATGATCCATTAGTAGTGCTTATAATCAGGGTTACCATGGCAACACCTCTCCTGTAAAGTTCAGAAATGACCCATGATCCTTTTCAGTCAGTCCACCAATCACAGACAAGACGGAAGAAATGCTCTCCTCTGGACTCAGTGGAGCCTGAAAAGAAACGAATTAGCACAAAAAATGATAACCAGACACTTCTTGGAAATGTTAATACAAATATCCCTAAAAACATCCCTCATGGCACTCAAATACAATATAAATATAAAAACTGTAAGAGCTCATATATTTTAGTCAAATACACAAACATTTTTTTCACACTAATGTAAATTTCAAAAAGGCTCAAGAATATGAAAAGATATTTACTCAGATCTGTCAGCACTAAAACTCAGCTCCACCTTTTTGTTCTCAGTTTGTCTGTGCTGAACTTCCCTTGCTGTCTGCTGTCACCTGTCGCTATCTTGCTATTGTCAGTCTGCCTTCATGTACCTGCATGCATGTCTTTTACTGTATGTTTGCCAGGCCCTTACCTCAGACCCCCCCATGTCAGTGCGGACCCAGCCAGGGTGTATAGCCATACACAGAATCCCATCAGGCTCCAGGTCAACAGCCATACAGCGACTCACCATGTTTAGGGCACTCTGAAAAGGCAGGAACAAGTCACTATTCAACACAACACAAACCTCAACCCACTACAGTACAGTTTTGCACAGCACTACAGCTGGGGATCTGTGGAGGGATGTTAAAAGGTGGAGTTGACATTTCTCATTTATCCTAGAATCTATTGTTGCTATATGTTTAATCAGAAGAGCGCTTATAACTTTCTTTCATTTACCAGGACAGAATTGCAATACCCAATCATGTAGCAGCACCATTTCTGCAGCCATATCAAAGCTAGTTAACTTACCTTACATACCTTGACAGTCTTGTATGAATTGGTATCAAGCAAATATATTCGGCCGTGGTAACAATACCTTGGATGTCCTGTAGGGGTACCATTTGAAGTTGTTGGCCCGTTCCCCCCAGTTGAGCTCCACAGAGCCCAACGAAGAGGACATGTTAATGACTGCTGCCCTCTGGATGCCCATGCTCCCTGTGCCACCCACTCCTCCTCTAGACGCAGCTTGCTTCAACAGAGGCAGGAAGGCCTTGCAGGGACACAAAAAAAAAATAAACCACATACATCACAGCTGAAGCTGAAATCAACTTACTGTACAGGGCTTTCATGAGATGGAGCAGAGGAGGAGGATGTAACCAATGTTTCGTCAGAACTTCTTGAATCTGAATATCAATTATCATGGTTAGTGATAAGTTAGAGAAAGGATTCAGTATTTATTTCATGATAATAATGCAGTTGTCACTGCAAATAATATCTAATATTCATAACAAAACTACATCTGAATGCAACATGTTACATATGTACAACACAGAGCCCACTACTTAAGACACACATCTAAGAAACTATTTCAGTATCAAATCTTGCATTTTGGGCAAACTCAGGAGCATTTCCAGTCAGATTATAACACATTCTCACTGTACAGTCTGTGAGTAGGAATAACAATAGAGCCCTCTGGTGGTAGCATGTCCAGCTTACAGAGAAATTGTTTAAAACTATTCATGTATTTTTCTAAAAAGAACTATATAGATACACACTGTATTGTGTTTCTTGCCCAAACCCTTTATATCAGTGAAGGTAAACTGAATAAAAGAAACAAAAGAAAGAAATTTTGATTTGTGTCATTGGGCTTTATAAATAAAATTGAACTGAATTGAACTATAACGTGATACAGTTCTATAGCAACCCAAACTACATCCTCCAAAATAATCAAACAATTTAATCAACACCTCTCTTAAACAGTTTAAACCAGGATTATGTTTTGAACACCAAATTCTAATCAGTCCATTCTTGAGTCCAAGTGGATTTTTGGGCCAAAGGTGAGGAAACTCCCTTAAGGCCTTCTTTGGATATTGCGTTCAGGACAATGAGACTGATGCAAGGTCAAAGTGACCTTGACCTTTGACCTTCAAAATCTAATCATTCCTCATTGAGTCCAAGTGTATTTTTGTGAAATCTGAGGAAATTACCTTAAGGAGTTCTTGAGATATCATGTTCACGAGGATTAGATGGATGCAAGGTCACAGTGACCTTGACCTTTGACCGCCAACATCATATCAGTTCAAGTCAATAAGACAGACAAGGTCACAGTGACCTTGACCCATGACTACAAAATTGAATCAGCTCATCATTACGTCTAAATGGATGTTTGTGCAAAATGTGAAGAAATTCCCTCAAGGCATTCTTGAGATATCACGTTCACAAGAATAGGATGGACAGACAGATGGACAGACGGACATACAACTGTATGAATGGGCAGAGGGACAACCCGACAACCCACATATTCATTAAAAAGGGAAGTAAAAACTGAAACATCACACTGACATAAGTATCAAGATCCTTTGCTTTGATATGTATCTCAGGTACATTCTACTTCTCTTGATTCTCTTCCAGATGTTTCTTCCTTGAATACAGTCCACCTGTGGTTAATTCAATTGACTGGACATGATTTGGAATGGCACATACCTGGCTATATAAGTTCTTACAACTGACAATGCATATCAAAGCAAAAAACTGGCAATGCAGTCAAAGGAACTGCCAGACAGCTACATAAAATCTGCTGCATTGACGGTTCCCAGAAGCACAGAGGCCTCTATAATTCCTAAATGGAAGAAGTTTGGAAAAACCAGGACTCTGTAGAGAAACTGAGCAATCAGGGGAGGAGGGCCCTGGTAAGACAGGTGACAATGATAACTCTGACTGAGCTAAAGAGATCCTGTGTGGAGATGAGAGAAACCTCCAGGACAAAGATCACTGCAACAATCCACTGATCTAGGCTTTATGGCAGAGTTGCCAGATGGAAGTCTCTACTCAGTGCAAGATACCAGAAAGCCCTCTTGGAGTTTGCAAAAAACAAAAAAGCATCTGAAAGGCTCCCAGACTGTGAAAAACAAGATTCTCTGGTCTGATAAAACCAATAGTGAACTGTTTGGCCACAATTCCAAGCATCATGTCTGGAGGAAACCAAACACCACTCATCACCTGCCCAATACAATCTCAACAATGAAGCCCGGTGGTTGCAGCATCGTGCTGTTACGATACAGTTTAATAGATTCTAGTCTGAATCTGTGCCACCTCTCCCATCTGAATGGGCAGTGAGGAAGATCCACAATGTTTATTAATAAAGCCAAAGATAATTGCTGTTCTGTTACAAAATGCAGCAAAACCTCAAATGTGAGAGGCTAGAAACATCAATGATTTGGCTTAAATGTTTTTCTGCTAATCATCTAATTTAACAATCAACTAATTCTTTCACCTTAAAATGGGAGTAAAGCATGTTTCAAAGTTATTAGCCCACTGAGAGTGGAGTGCAGTGCATTGCAGATGTCCCCCTACCGTTAGACATTTAAGCAGCAGCGTGGCCTTGTAGTCACAGAGACTGTCCTTCAGTTGGAGCAAATTGTGTGTCAGCACGCATATGCCCTGCTGACATGTTCTCGATCAGCGCCTGAATTTTTACCAGCGCAGCGTGCTGCTCTGAAGTCTGCCCTGTACTCTGGGGCCAACTGAAACCAGACTTTCAATTAATATTTATGAAATACAGTCTGCCCTGGGCGAGGGGGCTTTTGTTACTTCTGTCCATCAAGGTCATCCTTTTGTTTTAGTTTGCAGTGTTTGCGGGAAATGAAAAAACTCACAGGTCCTGCTCCTGGTGTCTAAAGAAAAAAGAGGTGTAGCTTCACTTCTTTTCTTTTTTATTTCACCATCTGGGGAGGTGAGAGCTGAAGACGTTCAAAACAAAACATTTCTTGTCACTAGCCGATCAGCAACATCCAAGTCGACAGGAAGCACAAAATGTATACAAAAAAAAATAATAGCGTAGTAAACATTACCTTGGTGATCATTAGAGGAGCCACAGCATTAGTGTGGAAGTTTTCTATCATCTTCTCTGCAGTAACGGTATGAAAGTCGGCCATCACGTTGATCCCTGCATTGTTGATCAGGCAGTTCAAACCGTCTTCTTGTACCAGCCGGCCCACCTCTTCCACAGACTTCTCTATACTGTCCTGGTTCACTACGTCTAGGAAAGACACATCAACACTGCAAATTACAAAAAAGAGTCAATCAAAATGGAAGAAATAAAATGCAAGCTGAACATAAATTAATAAATAAATCAATGTTTTGACCCTAACGTCATATCATCAGTGTGTATAGGATATATGCGTTTTCAAGGGCATCACTTTGTGTTGAAAGTGGTGGGACCATAAGGGCTCAGATGAAAAAACAGGTTTTTTAAATGGTCTTTATGCAATTTAGGCAACTTAATGGAGGGGATGGATAGGAGGTCATAATAGGTATATTACAGTGAGAGGGGGAAAACAACGCATCAAGAGGGCATAGCCTAGGCTTCTTCGGAGGGTTTCACTTCAGCATTGGGTGGTGGGGGGGGGGCACATATTAGATAGGGTGTTTGGGGGTCCTCTCCCAGGAAATTTTGAGCATCAAAAACCTCATTTCCTGTGTTCTGGTTTACTTTTTTGCACCAATTTATGAGGGAAATGTCTTTGTTTACGTAAAGTAAAAACACAAAACTCTGCAGACAGTTTACATTTAAAAATCAAAACTGTAATGAAATATAATTCCGCGAAGCTCCGAAATTCTGAATTGCTTAGAATACTGATTCTCCTGTAGATCAATTTTTCTCATTTAATGATATCCCTGCTTACTCAACTGCGCATGAATAACTCTTCAAGGGGAGTAACCTCTTTAAATGCGCATGTGGCACCTATTCATGTCAATGCACATCAATTTATTTTCATAAATTCAGAAACCCCTGGACTCTTGTAGTTCATGTGTGTTGTCCTGTTCACAGAGAGAATGGAAAAAAATTGTTTTTTGTTTTGTTTGTTTGGGTTTTTATGAATCTTATGTTACTGCTCTTGGGCAGTGCACATTTGTATTGTCAGTGCTTGCATTGCATTGTATTTTTTTCCTCCTTGCTCAAAATAAGCCTTTTTAAGCAAATTATGCTATTAAACAGCAATGGGGGCAAAACTGGCCATCTCAAAAAGTGATGGAGGTATGTTCCCAGCGTCGCCAGAGTAAACGATAATAACAATAATAATAATAATAATAAACTTTATTTTAATAGAGCTTTTCTAAACCAGAATTACAAAGTGCTTTACTGTATAATACCATACAATATGAGAAAAAAAAGATGTAAAAGAATGTAATTCACAGAAAATGCAAATGTAATTTAAAGCAGCTGTGCGGAACTTTTCGTTTTCGTTGATTATAGCGCCCCTTTGGTCGAAGCGGTATGACACCCACAGCCTGGTGTCGTAAAATTCCGACTGCAGCCGGCAATTACCACATGCATTTGTTTTGGAGAGCGAGAGGATTAACTAATGTCAGGTCAGTCCAAGTAATTAGTGGAAACAGCAAAATTACTCGGTAAATTCTCCTGTCGTGTTTCTGTTCTGATCTAATGTAATCTGTTGTGTATTTTGAGCTACTAAAGCTACCGTAGTAGTGTGAGCCTCAAGTTATTCTGGGTAATGTAGTAACCGTTGTTGTGCTACTGGAAACAATGAGAAGCAGCCGTGTACATTTGGTGTAAGGAGGAATAAACAGTTAACAAGTCATCTGCTGAGTCCGCATTATTATGTGAAAAGAATACTCTGACGATTTGGGAGTTATGCCCTTTCTCTATCATTTTCATATTGAGACAGCGGTTAGCATGGCACTTGTAGGGAGTCAGTACATCTTGCGCGGAGGGATACACCGGTGAGCAACAGCTGCAGCTGGCTCTGGGACAGGTACGCTAGGTCACTCGGTAAAAGCAAACAAAGAGACGACACGGACGATATTACTCACCCGACTGAAAGCTGTCCATCAGCTCCTGCAGGCCTGAGTGTTTTTTCCAGTTTATCTCAGGAACATGAAAAAAAGTTTCAATCACGCCAGGATTAGTGATTGCTGTAAAGTTCTCATTCCTTGTGATGCACTCTCTGCGGCGGTTTTCCTCCTGATGATATATCTCCCCAACGATGGTAGCACCGAGGGAGCGGAGGATTCAGCCTCTCTTCTCGCCTGCTCAGCATGCAACACATGGAGTTCCTCATCTGTGTACTCCGGCTCAAACAGGTATCCCTCCACGGATCACAGCGCAGGATGTACTAACCCCCTATAAGCGCAATGCTAACCGCTGAGACCCAGCCACTGGACGTACAGACACAAAAAAGATATCGATCATGTTGTCTCAATATGAAAATGATAGAGAAAGGGCATAACTCCCAAATCGTCGGAGTATTCTTTTATGTGAAGATACACAGTGAAGACATAACATAATCCTAACACAGCAAAGCTGTTACCTGCAGCCTTCGCTTGCAAAGCTAACGCTACTAACGTTAGGTCAGTCCAGGTAATTAGTGGTAACATGCTAACATGCTAACATGCTAACGTTACACACAAATTAGTAGTAAAGTAAGACCTGTTCATAAATGTTCTGGTGTAGCTCTGAATTTCTTATAAACTGAGGACAACTGCCTGCTGTATATTTGTGTTCATGGTCACAGTCACAGATAATTTTAGATGATGCTCCTTCGTTATCCGCCATGACATCAAAAGTACAACCAAGTCCTCATAGATACATCTCTGGTAAAACTGTTAGGTGTTATGTGTTCAGCAATGCCCGTTGCGTACTGCTTACTCGAAGAACACTGTAAACACGGCTCCTTCTTCTGTGGTTTAATTGCTGCGGACTGCTGCAGGTGTGCAGACTTACTTCCGCCTGGGGTGCCGTATTCTGGTTTGCTGACTTCCGCAGTGTGTCCGACCCGAGTGAGGCTAAGCTAAATAGCCATATAGAGAAAGGCTTTTTTGTCGCTGTTGGGTTCAAATAAATATGCGGATCTTCAAGGGGGGGTGATGCAAACTAGGGGCAGTTTTATTAATGGTAAAAAGTTCCGCACAGCTGCTTTAAGTATTACATTCATATACATATAATATATATATATATATATATATATATACACACACACACACATTCATACATCTAAAGGTTTCTATGATGACACCTAATTAGACCTATCTTTGTGCTTTATCTACATGTTTAAAGTTTGAACATGCATTACACCAACATGTGTTTAAGTTGCTATGCTGTAATATGTTGTATGGTATACTCTAAGAAATGTTTAGTTTCTCTGTGGTTAATGTATCTAAATTATCCCATAAGTGATTACATTGAGGCATTAATCAAAGTGAGGATTATGTGCTTGTTAGTTTTGCACACATAACCTATTCTAGTACTTTTCACATATTGTTTGTTTACACACCCACAACCATTGTTTACCTCTGTCTTACCCAAAGTGATGACATAGATGTTGGGATGTTTCTCTGCCAGTTCCTGAAGCTTCTGTAAGTCAAAACCACATCACGTCATTGTTCATTCGCAGATATTCAGTGGGGAAACAATGATGGACTCTGTGTCGTTTGACTGTATTTCTCCAACTGTTAGTAATAATGTATGTACCTACACCCTTTTTCTTCAGTCGATTCAGCGTCGAGCAGAAATAACTGCTCTACAACAAGGACACTCAAAGCACTACAGGTGGTGTGGTTACAGGATTGCTGTAATCTAGGAGTGGACTTTAATACGTCCCGGTGCATCTCTTCGGGAAAACGTGGAGGCTTGCCACAAAACGGTGTTTGCATAGCAAGTGAGCTTCACAAGCACCACTGCTGCATACGTCCACGGTCTGTGCTCATCACAATAACAAATACATAATAATAGACTTGAAATTCTGACTTGAATGGCCGTTACAGTTTCCACGTCCCATGTCGTTTTTTCCAATTTCAAAATACACTGAAATGGTACTGTCTGTATGTGCTAATGTTTACCTGCGAGCGCGTGGAGTCTCTGGTCGTCGCTATAATCTTGCCGGGTGAGAAACCTCCGCTCGCCAGGCTGTCGACTATCTGCAGCCCGAGACCTCGGCTGGCTCCCGTAACCAGCACAGAGCCGCAGTTTTTAAAATTCATGACGCCACTCATTGCTAATGTCCCCTGTAACAAATACTGGACTCAGCAGCCCGGTGGCTGAGCTCTCTGTCCTGATGGATATCGCTCGTGACAGGGCTTTGTTAAATCTGCAGTGTCGCGTGCTTCCTCCGGTAGATGGGGAGATTGTTCCACTTGACCAAACCAAGCCAGCGCTTTTACACGAGGGAGATACTGTAGTTCAGTGGAGTACAGCTTCGATGACCGAGGCAAGAAACATTTGGAAAGTTTTAGCAGAGTTATTAAACCGTCACACAGAGAAGTCAGTGGGAATTCGCTTTTTCCAATGGATGGAAGATTCTGGTGAAGTCAGTGGGAAGTTAAAACATTGTTTTGTCAGGGATCAAAATAAGAGGTCATTATTGTCTTTATTCCAATATGGTCTGGACAGATATTGCATTACTCATTTTTAAGTTTTGCTTAGCACAAAAGAAGGTTTGGTCTTGGTTCTTGATTGAAATAGGCTACTGGTTCATTTCTTACAGATAATGATCTCAAAAAGTCTAGGGTTTGGTCCATTTCACATTCATAAATTCTCTTTTTTTAAAACTCCCTCAATACAATGACTTCTAAAAATAAAAAGCATTGAAAACATCTCTCATATTGACAAAAATAATAAATACATTAGATACACGAACCTCTGCATTTTACATTGTTGTGTTTATCTTTTCTTGTTCTACTTGTGTATTTTATATTTTACTTTATTTTCCATCTTCTTTCATTCAGATTAGGCTATAATGATTACATTTTCTAATTTGACAGTCCCGTTAAATAACATTGATGTTGCATTGTCACAATGTAACAAAAAAACACATGATAAATAAATCAGTATATTTTTTAAAATGGGGGGGAAAAAACAGCAGAACAAATGCTCAGTATTTTGGAGAAACAGGGAGTCAGGGATGTCCTGGGTGTGTCTTGCTCAACAACTCAGTTCATGCATGTATGTAATTATGTATAGAATTTTTTGGATGTTGCCGCCATCTTTTGAGGATTGCACTGTGTTATCTGTGTCAGCTGCAGTGGTCAAGCAACACTATTTGGACAAACTAAAGATAAACAACATAGATCCATATGACTTGTCAGCCCAAGGCTGGAATACAGATCCTGGTGCACTACCTTCACTCACATACCCAGACATTGTACCTCACGAGATGGTACCTCATCCCACACTGCATGTACCTTCAAATTCTCTGTAATAAGACTTATTGGTTAGAACAACTGCAGACTGTATGATTAGAACCTGTGTTGTTGGTTAGAGTGATGTACAAGTCCCATTTAAAAGAGATAATTTTATATATTGGTCTTAAATTGAATCATGAATTGTTGACTAACAACAAATATCTTTGTTTAGGTTTTGTTAATTTAGGTTAGATTCATCAGGTGATATGCAATTAACAATGGAAATCAAGGTGCAGGGTGAGGAAAACCTCTCATGAGTAGCTACTACAATATTCACATACTTAGTGTAAGACAGTGATTCCCAAGTGGTGGGTTGCGGCCCAAAAGTGGGTCGCAGGCCCATTCTGAATGACTGACTCGCAAACGTGTCAAGTTTTTAAGAAAATTAAAATAAATAAAGAATTTAAAAAAAAACAACACTTTTTAAGTACAGTAAATTTTCAGCACAAAGCTTTTGGTTTGAAATGCTATTTTCTGCTGTAGAGTGAGTGATTAATGGACAGCTACTTGACAGACACAGCAAACTAGCTCAAAGACATGGCCAAACACAAGTATGACACTGAAATGTATTAAACTGTGGTACCTTGAACTAATGACTAAGGAGAAATCTGGACTCCATGGCTGGACCAGTTGGGAACCACTGGTTTAAGGTATAGCTGTCTTATAACTTAAAAAAAATACATATTTTTCTTAATAATATAAATGGGGCAATTTAATTAACAAAAATCTAAATTTTATAACAGCTTGGCATAATATTTATCAAGGTCATACCAAATTACCACGTCAAACTTTTTTTTTTAAATGGTGAGTTTTATGAGGAGTTATCTACATCCACAAAATATAATAATCAGCCATAACATGTGACATACAACAGCTACTGTAACACTGCACTAACTTACCTGTTAGTATACCTTCAGTTTCATAGGTGATAAATGTTGTCTTTAACATGTGACAGTGCTTATTGAAATAGTAAAATAAAAGGCTGTTATCTTTATATGGTTTGCATGAGGTGTTTGCTTCCATTGTTTTTTTCTATATTAGGTTTCTTGACAAAATTAAAAAGGACACTTTCCAAGAATTAAATTTTGACCACATTAGATGAGCTAGATTTTCCGGATTCATTTATTATTTATGATTAAACAGTCTGGCTTTCATGAATGCTAATCTTGTAAATGAGAGAGGCATCCGCTGTTTCCTTGTGCATTCAGTTAGTTTTAAATATTGAAGCTAAGATGGAGGTGCAGAGATAAGGGTGACAACACAGCTGACAGAGCTTATGCAGTCACAGCACACAGATGGTTTCTCTGGCAGCCTCTTAAATCCAGATTTTCTTAAAGCTTCTGGCGCTTGGGAGCAGCAGATACCCCTGGTCTGCTTCAGGTCAGTTAATTTGGAATTTGGCTTCAATGCCTCCATTTACAGACACATTACTTTGGCATGGAGCACACATTGCAAATGAAGGGTTGGTCATGGTACAATGTGTGGTGCAGAGCAGTGCTCCTGAAGCTGGAGGGTGTTAACTGGTGTATACAACAGCGAGGTATTGTCTCCACAGAGGAATCCGCAATCAGTTAATGGCTCAGATTACAGTTGGTCTGTCCAGTAAGCAGTGCAGAGGGACAGCACGGAGTGTGATATTCCATTTTGCCACTACTGCTGCTACTTTAGACATTTGTCTACACAACAAAATCACTTATGTCTGTAATATACAGTCCACATCCACCAGAGTTCATTTAACACTGGTATTACTGTAAACAGTTGCCCCAGAGCTATAGTGACTCTATGACTGACCGAACAATACGCTGAATAAAGTTAGTGAACTCCAAATTTTGAAACATGAAAAACCAAGGACCACTATCAGATTTTCTCAGCTGAAGATATTTTTGAGCTGTGTTACAGTTACTGTTCTAACTCCATTGTACAGTGAAGGGACCCTAAATGATGTCTATTTCAGTTTAAGTTACTGCAGGGAGAGTTGCCAAATTACTTTTTGATAATATAAGTTTTTATTTATTCATTTATTTATTTTCAAATATTATAATGTGTGATAAAATACACATTAACATGAATGTAAAAACGATGAGGTTTTACCATTAGAGTTTGGATTATTGCAGAAAAAAAGTCTTATAGCAAACAAATGTTTATTATACTTACGCATTTTTCTTCAGCCACAAAATCTTCACAAATGAATACCACTTGAATGATTTTTGAAGAGTAAATGAAATTGCCATAAGTTAGAAGCTATGTTAGGCTATAAACAAACTACACTACAGTCACATGACTTAACTTTGCCACTGCATAAAGGATGTAAAACTGTGTTCTGCATGATGACGTCCTGCAGTCTCATTTAGCCACTTGTTAGCAAGACACACAAAAGCTTCAAAATTCATAAATAGGACATTTACAGACATATTTTATATTGCAGAACAAAACACGGAAGTCTCTTAAGGTTATATTAACAACAGACCTTATTTCAGGCATCTAACCAAAAGTGCTAAAATGCTAACTCATTTTCGTGTTTTAGGACTCATTCCTGCTCCACTTTATTAGCAGAGATAAATCAGCCTACTCATTATTCCCATTTAATTTATAGCACACAACATTAATGATAGTCAAACTGTTACCCATGAGTCATTGTCATCATTTGAGCTAGCTAACTCTAAATCAGTGTGCAGCACCTTTTTGTTTCACTGCATAGCAACTATCCATAATAGCAAGGTGAACTAGTTAGCTAGCAGTTACTTACTCTTGAAACATATTGGCCAGTTAGCTGTATTATTATTCCACGTGTTCAGACATTCTTGTGAGCTACAGTGGATTGTTTTGTAACTTTTCGAGCAAGAAACCCTTACACCATCCACCTCAGAAACCACTGGCAAAAATACAGAGAGTGAGGCTAACGCACCCAGCCTTGCTACAACTGCTGCTGACTTAGCAGCTACAGGTAAGTACAAATCAGAGAAGACCCAAAAATATTTAATATTCAGAGAATCATTTTAAGTGCAATCCTGTTGTACAATGACGTAGGGGGTCCCTGCTTCATCTCTCTTTCAGTTTTGGGGTCCTTGGCCTGAAAAATGTTGAAGATCCCTGCGTTAAGCACTGATTACAACGTGATTCTTCAAGATTAGAGGGTACAGTGGCATTCACTTAGAGTATTACAATTACAATTGAATGTGCAATTTACTCGACCATAGATTTTCCTGGTGGCTGTTTGTCACATCTTTTCGCATGTGTGCCTTTCCGCTTGAACGATATAACCAAGGTCAAGCCAAATCAGCAGACTGAAGATATAACTTATTAAGCAGAACACACTCTCTGTGGCTGTGTAACATTCAACCGAAAGGAAAGACTGCTCGAGTCAATCCAGGAAAAGGGCAGTATTGATCATTTTTATAGTACTTCCTTTTCCCGCATCCCTCAAGGATCCTCTTTCATATGTTCTTCCTGAATCATTCTATATTGGCTTGGTGGTAAGGAATGAACACTAATGGGCCACTGGGACTATGTCAAGATGAAAAGATAAAGCATGATAAAGACAATATAACTGACAATCTTAATGCAAACCAAGGGGAAAGGTAACTACCTCAGTGTTTTGGATTTCATCTCACAGAAAACTTAGGTACCCTGGCTGATGTGGGAAAGCTGGGTTAAGCTGATATGACTCTAGGTCACTGCCATTTTGTATAGAAGATTGTATCAGTCAAAAGACATTAAGTATATGCTTTATTGGGTTTAATCAGTTACATTCTTGTCATAAGAAATTTTCATACTTAAGGATGGCTATAAATTCAGGTTGAACATGGGGAAAATAGTAGTTCTTTTTTAAAGAAATAGTTCCACATCTTGGGATATACTCTCATTTGATTTCATTCCAAGAGTGAGAGGTGG